CACACATCAGTGACATCTCTGTAATGCCAAAGTGTCATGACAAGCTGCTGGGGACAGACAGTAGGGCACAGTGTTGCTTATTCCCTAGGCCACTCCACTTCACCCACTCAAGTGTTCTGAATGGGGCCCTGTAATGAGGATGCTGTGAGTTGGCTGGACCAAAGGCCTTTCATTGCTCCAGACGCATCATACGATTGAAACATCTTTCAACTCTGGAAGTGTGTTAAAATGGACAGGCAAAAAAGACCCTTCAAATGATCTTGTGTGTCTGATTCCTTTGCTTCTTCACTCTAGCTGGAATGGGATGTTCCTGTGCCTGCAAGATTTGGCTGTGTGGCCTTCTTAACCAGCACAGGGCAGCCGTGAGCAACTGGGCTGTGGGTGGCAATGAAGATGAACTCCACTTTGGGTTGATTTTTGTTCAGGTAGTAATAAATGAGTGTGTGTGTGTTTTTTTTTTTCACCTCTCTCTATTTTTTAGACCAAAGTCTTTTGAGCAGCGGTTATTCAGTTTTCCAACTAGTTTCTCTGGTTTTACAATTTGATATAAAGGAGGAAATGATTGGGGCTAATTTTTTTTTAATATGTATTCTGCAACCCCACCTCTAATTTTAAGAGTGACTCAAATGACTGTATTACTACCTAAAAAACTGAATGATATTTATGAACCAATTTTTTTTTTTTTTTAGAGTTTACATTTTTGTTCCAATGGCTGTAACAGTCTTTGTGAAGTGCAGAATGCAGCAGTGCCCGGTGACCCAAGTACAACAACCTATCTTCCAGGGCCCTTTAAGTAATGTACGGATGAATATATGAGTGAATAATGAAGAATGGACGAGAAGCTGGAGCACTGATAGTTACACACTTCAAAAACTATCCTCACACTGGAAGGCCATACGTTGGGGCTCTGTGTGGCAGTTTCAGCACGAGGCAAGGTTGGCAGGAGGGTCTGGATGAATCAGACATGCACCTGCAAACTCTTGTCTGAGGAAATTTCTGGTGAGAAAAGAGGGCTTGCTCAGCATATGGGGACAGATGCTTCTCTAAGTTAACTATAAATATTTTACAGTTCTACTACTTACTCCTGGGGGCCACAGAAAAATATGTCTATCATTTAGTTTTTCTGTGTTGACACCAATTCTCTATACACGACCAATGAAACCCCTAGACCAACAAGTGACTCACTGAAAAAGCAGAGTCCATTGGCTCTTCTGTGGTCTGACCACTAAAATTCACAGAATTAGAAGAGCTGATTTCTGTCCCTCTCCTGAGATGGCTCCAGCTTACTGATGAATGCCCAGTACTCAGTGGGGCTCAGTGTACAACACTCTGACCTCCCCACATCCCTGGCATGGTGCACTGCACACAGTAGGTCCTACCAGGACATGTGGTCACAGAAGAGTGCAGGACAGAATTATATTGTTAACGACCGAAGATAAATCAGTTATTTTTGCCACTAATTAAGCTTGCCATTTCTTCAGGGCATCTAAATCACAATTCTGCTATTTAATAATTTAATATTAATATTAATTAAATATTAATCAATTTGGGTAAGTCACTTCCTTTCTTGGGCCTGGGCTTCTTCATCTATCAAATGGGAAAAGGAAATGTGGCCTCTACACCCCGTAAGTGACAAAGAGGGCAGTGCTGACGAAAGCACTTGATACCCTTCTTGAGTTCACCACCTCGTAGGCTGCCTCCTGCATGCTCTGGAATTCTCCTTACAAGTTGGAATCATGACCATCCACCTGCTCTGGCAACTAAAAGTGCCACATATTTGGTGTCAGGAATAGTGGTTTTATTTTGAAATTCTTTAAGAATTCTAGGCGATGTCACCCAGTCTTAGAGACTTACTGACTCTCCCTGAGGTCTGGAAAGGTGGCCTCATCACTTGCCCCACATTGGTGCCAAGGCACTCTGGAGGGAGGGGCACTGTCATTCTCCTGAGCATCATTGGCTCCTGACTTTCTAACTGTCATGTTGAGGCTGACCCACATCAGGGGTAGTGCCCAGCATTTCAGGCAGTTACAGGACAAGCACTGAGAACCAGAAATGTTAGCGTTAGTGTAAGTAGAAAATAGGAAATAAGGTTGGGAACACGATGCTCATGGCATAGGAGCGATCTGGGTTGGCCGGGGTGGGGGTGGACAAGGATGATCAGGGTTAAGGAGAGAAGGTCTCCCTTGTTCAAACCAAGAAACCCAGAAGGGCAAGGGACATCGTCCAGTAGGAGAGTGGCCCAGTGGACTCCTACTTAGCTGCACTGGGGGGTGATACTTATTTTCCCAGGACCAATCTTTCCCTTGAGTCCCTTACTACCTCATAACGAAGCATACCATCCCTATTTAACAGGAGACCCCTTAATAATCCCCCCTTGTACCCTGAAATCTCCTTGCTCCGTGTGTCCTGTTTTCTCTTAGAGAAGCTTCCTGACTGGGACTCCTCCTATGTGCCTGCCTTTGCAGCTCTGCCCCATAAATTACTACCTGAATCTGCTACCCCACCTCTAATGTTTGTACACAACTGCTTAGACCTTTGACCTTGAGAAGTCCCCTCCCGTGCTATCTCCTTAAGTTACATTCCCTTCAGATTCCTTTAGTACTTTGCTGGTTTTTTTGGAAAGATGTTCTGCTTTGTGTTATATGATTTGTATGTGTCTTATCTTGCTTATTCCTTTGTGTACCTCATGAGGACAGAGATCAGCTCCCTTATTTATGTAACACCTGCAGTGCCCAACAAACATTGACTGTGTTAAATTTTATGACATTCTGATTTCTAAGAATGAGTAATTGTATTTCCTCCCACATTTTTTTCTCGTTTCTAAACATAGTCATAATAATGTGATCACAATTACACAGTAGTTTCTCTATAAATAAGACAGCTACTGGCTTCTTTTTTATTCCATGTAGACTCAAATTCAAATACACTTTCCTATCTTTCAGGGTCCTGAACCATTTTCTAAGGCAACAGCCATTTATCTTTCCAGAAAACATTGCTATCACATCTTCTGTGAGCTGCCAGTCACAGCTATGGGCATCTGAGACCCTTTAACATCACTCTGGTCTCGACCTGCAGCTTCCCATTTTGGTGGAATGACCCTGGTACATTTTCATTATCTCAGGCCAGGCAAGCAATCCGTTATGCTTTGTAGCATACCAAGCCCACTGCCATGATCTGTGGTGGTTCCCCACAGGTCACCTGCCCGTCCACTGCTGCTTGCCTCCTTGGAGTCTCTCAGTCATTTCCATCAAGGTCCTCATGAGCCACCATGCATTTCAGTTCTGCTGCTCTTGGGGGCCTGTGAGTGCTAGGGAAGTGGGTATGTGCTTTGGCTTTGCTGTCTCTCCAGCCCTAACTGGTGCAGAGAGAGCATCTTGTCCTCAGGCACTATTTAATTCTCTCCTTAGCACTTAAATATCCAGAGTTTGGCTCAACTCAAATCTCAGAGTCCAAAATCATATTCCATTCTAACTGATCACTAGATTTTAAATTACTTTCACTTTTTTTTCCAGTTGTTTACAAGGTTGTTTGGGCCTTCTTATGACAATGATACAAATGTATACAACCTGTCCCAAGCAAGTGTTCAGTTTGGGGCTGGGAAGAGCCTTTCTTCTTGTGAAGGGGCCACTGAGCCCACGTGAAGACTGAACTCACAGTCTTCTTGGTGGGGAGGATGAGGCACTGGAAAGGAAGGAACACTAACTCGACTTGGGACTGTGATCAAAAGGGAAACTGAGACCAGCCCTGGAATCAGCATGTGGGGAGTAAAGTAATACTGATCTGCAACTGTGTGCCTGGTCTCACTGACCTCAAGTCTCCTTTGGTACCTGGCAAATGACAGGATCAGAAATGCTCCACTACATTCTTCTCTGAAATATACTGAAAATCAGGCTGAGCCACTCGATGGGAAAAAAGAATGAGAAATATGCTATCCCTATCATGAAATATATACCCAAACCACTGAACTTCATTATTAAGATGGGAAAGGATGCCCCATGCAGAAACAGCTATAATGAGAATGTTTTAATCAGTCTATCTGTACATTTTATAATGATTTCAAGCATGAGAATTTATTATCTAATCAAAAGGATTTGTGATTACTAATTAGTTACGTTGTATCCAATCAGGAATTAATACTGTGGGCCTAATTACAAATGTTGAGCTTTGTACCCAGTTGTGGGATGCGTGCCGGCTGGCAATGCTGGGCGGGGGAGTGGCAGGCCTTCCCTGACCTTCGGTTCTACAGCAAAGGCACCAGCAGGGCGGGGTTGTGAGACTTGGGGTTCTACGAGGCCCCAAGGCCCCTAGGGGTGCAGAGGTTTACCAGGCTGCACCACCTGAGCCAAGCAAGCTGAAAGCATGTTTTATTGGAGTCTGGCTACAAAGCATAGAAAAAGAGGCTCTGGTGCCAGGGTTGATATTGTGCAAATATAATAAATATTTCTTCCCTCTCTCCAGGAAGTAAAATGAATTATTACTACTTTGGAATAAACAGTAATGCTCTCTGGGTGAAGAGCCAACTGGCAGTTTGAAAGATTGGGTTAATCAGACACAGGGAAATTTCTGATTAATTGGACAATTACTTGGAATTCTGAGTGAGCCAAGGCGATATTAGAGAAATGTCCCAACCAACTGGGAGTAAATTCAGTAGCCTGAGGCAGAGATTCTGAAGCTTATGGAGGCTGAAATACACTGGCATTGTGGGCCAGATTTTATGGTCTCACATTTGTCAAATGTATAGGGCCTGCAACTATCTTTTAAGACTAAAGTGATTCAAATTATTTTGATTTTCAACAATTATGGAAAATCTGTTTGACAGTCTCTTGAAATAAGTTTAAGACCCAAGGACATGACAAAACCAAAATTTAGGGGTCAGCAGGGAGGAATCACTATGTTTGATGATGTAAATGGCCCAGATTTAGGAATAGGTCACGAGAGCCGGCGACACGTGTGACGTTCTCCCAGGCTCCTTCCTTGGAGTCTAAGGAGCCACACCTCACCTGGTGGGGGCATGTTTTTGTTCCTCCTCCTCATCTGTGTCGCTGCTGATGGTGATGACGCTGACTGTGGGGCTGGGGGTATCAGGGATGACAATCGTTTGTCGCTGCCGCTCTCTGGTGGTGCTGGAGGCCACGTCGCCCCACCCACATGTGACGGAGGTACTGCAGGCTGGGCTGCTGTGCACCATGGCGCAGCGGGGAGGTGTGTTCTCCTTGACACGTTTGGATCGCTGAGGGGAGCTGATGGCCTGGGAGGAGGACACTTCACAGGTGGAGACGTTTCTGTAATGACAAAACCACACATGCAGAGGAAGCTCAGGCCTGGCGACTCCTTCCAAAGAGTCCACTCTAGAAACACCGGTGTTGCCACATGTTCATTACAAAAAAAAAAAAAAAAAGAAAAAGTCCAAGGACTGGGCCAATTAGACTGAGTTTGTAATTAGAAAAGTGGTCGCCTCTAGAGGTCTTTCAGGTGAGGACAGCAACTTGGCCTCCCCAGGGCTCTGGTCTGGCTCCCTATACCTGCTCCCAATAGGCTGGTCTTGTAGGGGTTTAAGTCCTGACCAGAAGTCAGCTGTGTCTGTTTCAGTGTGGCCTTCATCTTCAGGATTAAGGTCCTGCTTTCTTGGCTCCATCTTGTGACCCCACAATAGATTTTATGTCTTGTTTGGGGTGGAGAGAGAAGTGGTGTTGGCCTCATAAAGCTTTGTTTCCTTGCTAATAGTTGTTCTACCATTTATTATACTAAAACACTTGTTTCTTAAAGAGTTTCTGGACCTATAGGTCCTAACTTTGGTGACCTTAAAGTTCGGCTTTCCCCCTTTCCTCCTCTGGGAAAAGGATGTGGTCATTAAAGTATTTGTGTATATGTATTAAAGGAAAAAAAAAAAAAAAAAAAAAACAAAAAAAAAAAAAACCCAAACGATTTTTCTGGATTTTGATCCCTGAGCCTTGTGGGGAGCTTGCCAGTCTATGTGAATTGCAATTAAAAATTAGGAATAGAACAAGAGGAAAAGATACACTTAAAAAGGAACCTTTTAATTTAGTTTTGATTGAACTGAAATTCCTTATTAAGTGAGCCAATGTAGTTTCTGGTAACTTCAGGGAAAAGATACCTTTTCCCTCCCTATCTAACCCTTGCTGATCCTGGTAGTATCTACACAGTGAGAGACCAAAGCCAATGTATAATAAATCTTAGGCCTTATGTCCTTAGAAGATCTTCTAGCTAAAGGAATGGCAGTAAAATGAAAATAGTAAAGGTAGACTTATTTAATTTTTTATCTAGCCAGTTTTAAATACACTGCTTATTCCTTTTCAGGGGCTGTAATAAGTTTTACTGATAAGACTGTTCCAGTGTTTTTACTTATGATAAGCCTACGTGTTTGTTATTGCTAAAATATGATTTTGAGATTACATTTTTGTTATTCTATCAACTGCAGTACCTCCACTTAGCAGTGTTAAAGAAAAGCAGGCAGGGCTGGAGTTGTGCTCAGTGGTAGAGCTCTTGCCTGGCATGTATGTGCAAGGCCCTGGGTTTGATCCTCAGTACCACATAAAAATAAATAAATAAAATAAAGGTATTGTGTCCAACTACAACTAAAAAATAAAATATTAAAGAAAAGAAAAGTAGGCCTGGCCATACCATCTGATGAGAGAGAGAGAGAGAGAGAGAGAGACAGACAGACAGACAGACAGACAGACACAGACACACTGACTTCTTTCTGTTCTCTCAGACTTGTTTTGTCTAAGGTACTGGACTTAAAAATAAGCAAACACATAGCTTGGACTATAATTGCATTGATCTTGAAGTGCACAGGCAGTGAACTTTCAGGAGGCCAGCCAGGCAGTGAGAGGATAGGGAGGGACTTGCTAAATAGGTGGTGAGGACAAGGGTTCTTACTGCCCCGATTTGGCCAAGGTGAGCCACAAGGACGCATATACAGTCCTGGGTCAGTCCAGCACTCTGTGTGATGGCATGAGTGGCTGGCCATGATAGTGCCTGAGGATCAAGATGGCTTTTGTGGATGCTGAGTCTAATAATGACATGGGTATGCTGTCACAGGACTGCCAGACAGAAGTACTCTGGAGGCCTGCCACTGATTTGATTTCCCCTGAGTTGTCAGATACACCCAAATAAGGACTCTTGAAGAAGGACAACAACTTGTAGGAAGTCAGCTTTTGGATTGATTTTTGAGAATGAAAGGAGGCAGGACTAGTTTCTGGTGCTTAATTATATGAGGAAGCAGAAAACCAAAATGCACTAAACCTTGTGTATACTGGACTTCTCCAAATAAGCAACCACATACCTCTAAGTCGGTGCCATTAGGAAGAAATGTAGGAACAATTCTGTGGTTGCATGATCTGGATCTATTTGGCTATAGGATTTTTTTTTTTTTTTGAGGGTGGGGCTTGGAAATCTCTATATTTTAAAAGTTCACTGAGGTATAGTTGACATATGTAAAATTCCTGCTTCTGAAGAGTTTGATGAGTTTTGACAAACGTACATTTATAAACCCCAACCACAATCCAGACATGGAACTTTTTCAACACCTGAAAAGTCCCCTCATGTTCCTTCTTAGGCAATCCCCTCCTATCCCACAGTCTCTGGCAACTCCTAATCACATAGCATGTAACTGTTCATCCAGCTGGATTGTTTAGGAGTTCACTGAGATGAGACTAGGGTTAAAGGGAATGGGAAAGATTAGTGTCGTGTTGTTAGTGTATGGGATCAATCGCAGTTAACTGTTTGTAGTTAAGGAAGCAGCTAAATGAGTTAAAATTTCTGACCTCAAATTTCAAAGAAAGTACAATCCTCTAGGATTTTTGCTTTTTGTTTTTGGTTCCTGTTCACTTAAAATAGCAAAATATTTCAAGCATGCATAGACTTGCAGGCAATACTCATGCCATGACCATCCAACATTATAAAATCTTGATTCATTGTTATATATCCTTTAGATTTTTTTTCTTTTTTTCAGTTCTAGGGATTGCACTCTATACATTGTAGGCAAATGTTTTACCTTGAGCTACATCCCTAGTTCTATTGTGGAGTGTTAGGATCAAACTCTAGTATTTTTGAAAAAGTTATGCTAAATGATTTCCAAAGTGAAACTTCAGAGGCAAAGCTGTTTTCGAGAGAAGAAGTAACAAAAACTTTCTCCTTGGCCAAACTTTAGTCAGGCTATGAACCTTCTCCTAGGCCCACTTGTGTATTTCTTGTAAAATCCAGTCATAGAAAACAGCCACGCTAATTCAGTTTAGACAGAGCCTGTCATCCTTGATGTCTGATCAAGGTTCCCTACCCTTCACTTTTCCCCAGGTGATTCCAATTACTTTGGCCTGCCTTCAGTTGGTTTAGCTAGAATAACCCTTAAGCCTCATGCTTCCTCTTAGTAATTTTCAATCCTCTTACCCCAACACTATTCCTTGGCTATTTAGTCCCACTTGTCCATGCTGTATGCAGAGCTCAGCCCAATCTCTCCCCAACTGCAAAATCCTAGTTCAGCATTCCTGGTAATATTTCCATGGTACTGAATAAAATCTTCCTTCCTGCACTTTAACAAGTATCAGTGAATAATTTTCTATTCCCTCTGAACAAATGGGGCTAAAGCACCTAAGGTGCTGAACGTGCTGTGATTCCGGGCCTCCACCCTCAGGGTGCCGCAGGGCTGTTACTAGGGTAAGGCAAGAGGCAGGCTGCACACTGTCACACACAGAGTTACAGTGAGTGCTGACCGCGCCATCTAGGCCAGGCCATACATGTTCTGGGGCTTCTGCAGGAGGAGCTGATCCCTCCAGTGCCAGCATGCTGACACCCCCCTGTCCTAAGCGTCGCTCTCAGCATCACGACCTCCGGGGCCGGTCCTCCCGGGCCGCTCTCACCACCTACCTCACAGATGACTGGTGCTGCTTACTCTTCCGAGAGGAGGTGGTGCTGGTTGGCTGCTGCCGCATCACGTGGGCCACACCCACATTTAAGGGCTGGGCGGCTGGGAGGGTCACATGACCAGTCAATAGCGCGGGCTGCTGCATGATGGGATTGTAATGGCTGCCGTGCGCATGCGTGTTCCTGAAAAGGAAAAAGGAGGTGGTTTTTATGGAAGCAGTGCCTTTATAGGATGAAATTACCTTTTAACTGAAAGCTGACCATGGCTGGGGATGTGGCTCAGTGGTTAAGAGCCACTGGGTTCAGTCTCTGGTACAAGGGAAAAAAAAAAAAAAAGAAGCCGACCACGTCCCATTGAAGGGGCGGGAAGAACCTGACGGGTTGGCGAGAACCAGGGCTTACGTGGGAAGAAGGCCAAGTGTGCAGGCTGTGCTTCCAAGTTCTGGGGACTTAAGTATTCCCTCTAACTTTTAAGTCCTTGAACAGGTGATTATGCTGAACAATAATGTGTGTTTTATTTTTGAATTTATAAAGTGCCTTCAATGGATTCTTTCATTCCACTCTGTGAGGTAGACAGGATGTCTTGGTAATACCATTTTATTAATGAGGAAATTGTAGTTAATGTGAAAAACAAACTTTGAAGACTAGGACTCACATTCTCCTGGCATTAGTGAGTGTTAATGTTCTTTGGAATTCCCTCAGTGGCCGGTACAATGCACAGGCCTATAGCAGCTGATCAGTTAATTACACGCTTGCTGAATGAACAATTAGATTTACGGAAGGTTGACTGGACGTGTATAGAGTTTGGTATTAAATAAAAATTAAAAGCAGTCAGACACATATTGATAGGAATACTGGCAGCCTGCATCCTGAAAATGGGTTACATTTCAAAATTCTTATTATTTGAGTTGTATGGAGATCAGCACCTTATTTCCCCACAGAAATGTTAAAAGTGATGATTAACTCAGAAATTTCCCCATAAAAGCCCACTTGACACATAAGATAATTAAAAGCTACAAAGAATTTACTTGACTTCTTAAAAATAATCAAATTCTACCTTTGCTACTTGGGGAAAAGGATGAACAGGAAAAAAAAAAAGGAGCAGATGAACACTTTTGTAGAAATGTTGATACTCTTAGGCATTTACATGGACTTCAGAAACTGATGTTATGGCTTCTTTATTTTGTCGTTGTTCTTTCCCTACACAAATGTGGTGTTCTTTTCCTTTGAAACGAGTCCAGCATTAGTACTGCTCTTTTGTTTATTAGTCAAGATCACAGATGTTCTTTGGTCCACATGTAAAGTGGGAGAGAATGGAAGAAAGTGCATTGCTTATGGATGTTGCTGGTGATTGCTAGGTTAAGAGATGGAAAAGAGAAGAGAGGGAGGCTAAGAAAATATGCATGAATAAGTGCATGATATTGCTGAAATTAAATGAGCTATAAATGCTGAAAGACAAAGGAGTAAAGGAGTATGGCATGTGTGTGGTCTTTTAGGAGAAAAGGGGTGGTGTGGGGAGAACAACAATTGGTCAGACAGCTTTCCACTTGGTTGCTGTTCCTAATGAGCTAGAGGAAGAAAAGCAGTCTTGCTGAGCATGAACTGCTGTGAATGGGCAAAAAGAAGATGACAGGCTTATTTATTGACTGTCATGTTCAGGCACTGCTGTGGTGCATGTTAAATACAGGCCAAGTGCTTTGTGTTTTGTCTTAATTTAAACCATTCAACAATCCTATGACATAAGCCTCATTATCCCCACTTTGCTGAAGGAGAAATCAAGGCTCATATAGGTTAAATAACATGCCTGGTTCCAGAAAGCCAGAATGGAAGTCTAGATACACCTGATGTTGAAAGTGATTCCAATGAATGCAGGTAAGTGTGGGGAGTGAGAGGGACTGTGGGGACAGCCTGTGCGCTCACTTCTTTGTTCTAGTCAGTTACAGGGAGAGTCGAGGAAGCTGTAATAGAGGCTTGACCGGGCGCTTATAGCTCTACCTGTCAGCCTCTTCCAGAGAGCGCTCTATCTACAATGTTCTTTTGGGTCAGAAAAGGAATTATGGGTAACTTCAAGGTGGGATGGAGACTCTCAAGAGGGTTGAGGGGAGTGACCAGCCCTGGTGTTTATGCTGAAGGAGAGACAGCCCAGAAGGGTCGTGAGGAGTTGGGAACAACTTGGAAGTGGCCATGAAAACCACAGAGCAGCATGTCCATGAGGAAGTCAGTGTTTGGATGGGTGGAGTTCAGGAAATTCACAGGGGTGTGGTGTGCTGGCAGGTGGTCACCTGGATGTCTTTAGGGTCTATGGGAAGTGGAATGTGATAAGACACCACTAGTAACTGGAGAAGCACACTCAACAAACATGCCAGAGTTTGCCTTCCAACAAATCCTATCTGTCAAGCCTTCCCTGGGGAAGTCAGATAGACTCCAGGGTGCTTATGTCTCCAAACATCCCGAGAACATTTTCTAGAATTGCTTAGGGCTTTGGGGACTCTCTACTGCTTTCTTTAACTGGTGACAAACCCTTCTTTTCTGAAAGTGGAATTTAATTCTGAGAAAAACCAAAAATCATGCAGAGCTGAGTCTGGTGAATAACACTGATGATTGAATGATGCAGCTTAATTTTGGGAAGAAAAATGACAGATAATCATAAGTTAATAATCTGATTTTCTTAGATCCTGGTGCTTTATTTAAAAATAACCATTACAGTGTAGTCATAGTCCTGTAATCTCTGCGTCAGTGGTGGACATGCCTCCCATCCCAGACACACCACTCACTCTTAAAGTTTCCTGCTTACCTCCAGTCGGCCAACTGCTGGGTGCCTGCCATGGTCTCGGGAATCACAGTCGCATGCTGCACTGATGTGTGGGTGGCCACTCCAGTCAGCTGCTGCCATGCTGGAGGAAGCAGGATCTGTTGGGTCCCACTCGGCCAGGCCTGCTGTGGGACAGAGGACATTTGCAGTCACCACATTTGTTAATCACATAATTAACTTATACTGTGCCGGGAGTGGTGCTAGACCCTGTGAAGGGTGTGAAAGTAGTCTCTGGCTTCAAAAACTATGTTAACAGGAAGCAATACTAACACATATGAACTAAATAGAAGATAAGTACAGGGACACAAAGTTGAATGGAAGGGATTCATTCATGTTGAAGAATGATTTATTTGGGGATTTGCTCTAATGGGCTATGCTCAAAGTTTCTAAAAGTCATTTATTGACTTGTTCTGCCACAGAGCTACATGCAAATGATTGAGGGAGTTGAGCTGGGTGACTCCTTGCCCTTAGGGAGCTTTCTTTTTAGTGTACTTGATTTGATACTTAACCTTTTGTTGATTATTTAGTACCTACAGGTCTAACTTGTGCTATCTTCTGAATCTAAGTTTACAAAACCCTGAGATGAATGAGTATTTGGTGCTGGCCTACACCTTGGATCAAGCATTCAGTAGTCCTCCCCTCATCTGCCAGCTTTTGAAGTGACTTTCTTGTCTGGAACCTTCAGCCTACTTGAGAATCACCTTAGCTCCTCAAAGCAAAAATGAGAGATTGTTAGGAAGTCATTGCTTCCATCTTCAAAAGACTAAGATTTTCCTAAGAAATCTAAAATAGACTTTTGTGGTTCTTTCTTGAATGTTGTATTTTAAGCTCTTCATATTCTTCATCACTATTTTTGGTCACTAAATAATTCAGACTGAAAGTAGAATTTAAAGTTGGGCTCATAAAGGGCTACCACTAAGGTAAAATACCTCTTGGGCAGGTCAGGGATTTAAGTTTTTGATATCTTAGTCATATCTCTCTCTCCACCTGGCTGGACATGACCAATATCGGGTAATTCAGCTAATATAGTGCTCTACACACTGGGCAGGTGTTTAACACGTGTTTTGACTCACATATACAGACAAGCACTTCTAGAAATGGATGGCATTTTGAGTCAAGGCTTAAAAAACAGTGCTTATAAAAATGAAATAGCCACATTTGGAGCTGTCCTGCTTCTCAGTTCTGTCAACTGTCTGGCAACTGTCATGTTGCCAATGAAGTCTGTGAGATCACTTCTACTTTTTGATAATGCCTGTTTGCTTACTGATCTGTTTTGCTATAGGAAGAATGCTTAGAGGCCATGGGTAATACATAGGTGCTTAATAAATATTCTTGATAAATGAAGAATCAACTCTTGATAAATGAAGAATCAACTCTACCAACTCTGTTTTCTATAGTTAGTATTATTTCAGGTTTACCAAATGCCTCATAAGAAGAAAAATAAATTGGTTAAAACAGTTGTCATCTCAAAATATTAAGTAAATAACAATTTCATTGGCAGTAAGATTTTTACTGCTTAGTCATCTGGAACTTATTTCAGATCTCATGAAAAGCATGAGTTTTGATTAACATCATTAAAAATATCTTGAATAAAGCTCAGATCATCATTTTTAAAACTTCCCTGAAATGGATATTAACATTTTACCTCAAAGAGATGGTACAAAAGGCCATTTTTGACCTTTCAAACTGATTGATACACTCAACTCATTTCAGATGACCCTTCACAGACAGTTCTATGATTCATTATTACTACTAAGAATAGAGCTAATATTTCTTATTGTGTGCCAAGCACAGAGTTAAGTCCTAAGTAGATTTTTTGACTTCTTAACACCAATTGTGTGAGGGGATGCTATTGTTTCCTTTCATTTCTCAGATGAAAACAGAGAAGTTAAACTTGCCCAGAAACTTGGTACATTAAACATATATGTTTATTGTTCTTAATAAACCCAACTAAAATGATTGTGAGGGAATAAAAAAATTTGGATTCATAAGAGCAAGAAAATAGGGGAGAGACAATAACAGTTAACAAAATTTAAGGAGCAGGATAATAGACAATTACCAGGTGAGTGAGCAGACAGAAGGAGTCTAAGGGAAGCTGCATGTTAAACCCTCAGCTCCCAGATCCCTGGTGTGCAGGCTTATACCTCCCCCAAAGTTGGAGCTGGATGATTCTCTCTAGGGAAACTGAAAAGAACTACAAAAGAAAAGAGTTACAGATACAACATTTGAGGATCTGAGGTCTGCAGTGAACATTCTGGGCTTGTCCCTTATCTGCCTAAAGAGAAGGCCACATTCAGTGGTCCTCCCCTCATCTGCCAGCTTTTGGAGGAAATTTTAAGAGCCTCGGTCTTACATATGTCAACAGCTAAGGATGACCAGACATTAAAGGAAGCTTCCAGCATTAAAGAGTCTAAGATAAACAAAAAAGAAGCTGGGAAGAAGAAACACAACGTAGAAATCAGAAGAGAATTTCCAAAGACTTGTAATTAATGTTCATACCGAGTTAAAAAAATCCACAAAGTAAGATCATTAGTGAAATATATATTTATATACCAATAGCTACATTCAGTGAACAAGAACACACTCTTAGAAATGAGAACTATGACAAAATGAACACTTCAAGGAAATTGAGGAAATTTCTCAGAAAGTACAGACAAAATATATAGAAAATGGGGTGTGTGTGTGTGGGGGGGGAAGAAAATTGGAAGATCAATTTATAAGTTTTAATAACCAAGTCTTAAGATGTCTACCAAGAAGAACCAGAAAACATAAAAAAATTATTAAAGAAAAAATAAAAAGAGTTCCAATTAAATGGGCAAATATGTGGTTGGGTATGAAGGTAGGTGGTAGAATGCTTGCTTAGCATGTATGAAGCTCTGGATTTGAAATCATGAAATTTGAGACTACTGTGGACAAAGAGAAAGTCTTAAAAGGTTTCAGAGAGAGAGAGAGAGAAATAATAGTCACTGAACTCATGCTCAAATATAACACTTTAAACATATAAACCTTTCATAGCTCTAGAAAGATTTGGGATTGCATAATAAAAGATATATAGAAAACCAACCCAGTAAAAAAATGAGGAACCCATTAACTAAGGGAAAACAAGAAGTTATACAAGAAAGGAAATATAATCACAGTATATTATGAAGCTCAGCTGAGAGTAATATTTACTGATAATAACTTTACGAACAATTACAGAGTAGTTGAATTAAAAATCATATGGGATGAATGGGAGAAAGGAAAGTGAGTGAATGAGAACAAGGGAGTGAAAGACTGGGTCGTGAGGTGGGGTGTGTTAGAGAGCTAAGTCTTCAACTTTCATTATGGGAAGTCAACTGATCATAAAGAAAATGGAAAAAAAATCAATAAAAAGAGGTCTAGAATGCTATTTAGAAACATGGAGTTAAAAGTAAGATTGAATAGTCAAATTAAAAATAATTGTTTGGAGAAAAGTTAAAGGATGAAGCAGGGAATTATATTTTCTTATATGTTTGTGGTATCATTTAGCTTTAAAAAATTATATGTCTGTATTAGTTTGAAAAGGATAACATTTAAATTTTAAAAGTAACTTCCATAGGCTAGACTTATAGGTTAATGGTGGAGTATTTGTCTAGCATGCCCAAAGCCTGGGCTTCAATCCCAGTATTTTTTTTTTTTTAATATTTATTTATTTAGTTGTAGTTGGGCACAATATCCTTATTTTATTTATTTATTTTTATGTGGTGCTGAGGATCCAACCTGGGTCCCGCCGGTGCTAGGCGAGCACTCTACTGCTGAGCCACAATCCCAGCCCTCAATCCCCAGTATTGCAAACAAATAAAACAATGAGCCAGACACTGTGGAACATGCCTGTAATCCTGGCTACACAGGAGGCTGAGGTAGGAGGATGGCAAATTCAAAGCCAGCCTCAGCAACTTAGTGAGGTGCTAAGCAACTTAGTGTGACCCTATCTTAAAATAAAAAATAAAAGGGCTGGGGATGTGGCTCAGTCATTAAGCACCTCCGAGTTCAATTCCTGGTACCATCACCACTACCACCACCAACAACAATAACAACAAATACCACAAAGACAAAAACTTCCCCAAAGTCACACAGCCAGTAAGTGGTGGGTGTGGCATCTTAATGTGGGCTATCTTAATTTCCATGCTGTCAGCCAATATCCTATCTTCATTTATGGAGGTAACACAAAAAAACGATGGCCCCTATTGGGATTAGGCATTGGTGGTAACTGCATAAATGTGGCACAAACAAGTCTTCCTTATTCAGCGCCCAGCAAGACAGAAGCAGATATCAAGACAGATTGGTTGCTGAAAATTTTATCAGTAGAGATTTTAAGTGAGAAGCATTGAAGTTTGATATTTTGGACAGTTTACATAGTTCAAGCTAATATCTTGTCCTTAGGAAAATATTTAAAGGCATTTAGGTGATATGACTCAGTTAAAAGAATGCAAAACATTTCTACATGGAATGGTGGAGTCTATAAGGATCTGGCATTTCGGAATTTTTGATATAACCATGCTAGTCAAAGGGGGTTTTAGATCCTACCACTTGACAAGTAAGATGAATTCAATATTTTCTCCATCTAAACAGTCTCCTTTCTATCTTTTCACCTTTACTTGCTCATTCAAAATTTCTGTTGATGGTCAAGATGCTAACTGTGGCTCAGGATCTGGGAAGATAGAGGGAACAGCTCCTTTTAGAAAGTATTTTAAAAGTTTTCTCTGTGGGTTAGATCCATAAAGATCACTCCTATGTCACTGACATGAGAGGGTGGGATCACCATCCCCTCCTGCCATGCACATAACCTCAAGGTATCCTACAGAGGCTTGTTTCCTTATAAGGATGTGGTATGGGGAGGAAAAGAGCAAAGAAAATGAAATTAACATGAGGAATAGATTCAAAGATTCCATCTCTAAACCTTCACAAATCAAGTACTTGAAAGGTTTTGCCAACTTTTTGGAATATTGAAAGCAAATACTAGTGTTTGAATATATATTATAAAAATAATAGTATTTCTGCTTGATACCTAGAAATTTACTTATAGAAAAATGAAGACTTCAATTTAAATGTTTAATTATTGCTTTAAAAAATAGCTGCCATACTAGTTTTGCAAGTTATTATTTTTGTCCTTTGAAAAGATCATTTAAAAATATCTAGGAGAGAACCCCCATCTTAACAGGCTAATATATTGGCATGAATTAAGTGATAAGCAGAGAGAAATAGAAAAAGTTACCAACAAACAAAAAGACACAGTGTGATACTGGGTAGGGCAGGTTTTTTTTTTTTTTGTTTTTTTTTAATCTTAATATATCTTAGAAGGCTTTACATGTCAACACACATAGGTCTATCATATCCTTTAAATGGCTACATGGTGTTCCATTTTATGCATTCATGTATTGATTTAACAAATCCCCTACTAGTGAATAATCAGCTTGCTTCCAACAGTTCCCTCTTATAAACACTATAGGAATTAAAACCCTTGTACAAACATTGTTCATTTTCCCAATTATAGATTCGGGTTAAATCAACTTTACAACACTCTAGAGACTCTTTTTCAAGTAACCATAAGGTAAAGTTCTATCCTACTATGACTAAAGGACTGAAACAAATTCAGAAGTGCTTAGCCTATGGGTTCCACCAGACTGAACAATGCAGAATATCTATTTTAGCTAAGAAGAGATGCTATTTGTTTGTTTATTTATTTATTTTCAGAGACAGTTCCTGGCTTCCTTGAGTTAAGTGTGCAAACACAAAAGGGTCTATAATTACCCTCTACAATACACATGAAATCTTTAGATTTTGACTCAAAGAAGAGGAGCACTAGAATATTGTTTGGACTTTTGCCACTCAGATGAAGTATAAACAAGCTTCTTTGCCCCTGAACTAAGCTGTAATTCTTTCCCTTGATCTGTCTCGGCCTTTTCTGAAATCCCCATCACTGAACTATGGAAACAAAAGGAAGCTACAAAGGCTGGTGAGAAGCAAAGTATAGGCCTGCTGTAAATATGTAATGTTCTCTTTTGATAACCCTTCAACAAGAAAGTATTTTGTGTGCCACCAGTTGGTATTAGGGGTCACTTGCACAGTTTCAATATGGACATAAGAATAAGGAGACAAAGAATAGTTAATATCAATCTTAACTAAACTGCTCCAGGAGACAGAAGAGGTAGTAAGATCCAATATAATCTTATACTCAAATCAGATAAGGATTGTATAAGGTAGTGAAATTATATGCCATTCCTAACTTAGGAATACAGATGCAGAAATACTAACTACAAAAACAGAATCCAGTATCAAAAACTGTTGCACCATGTCAACCACAACATGATCAAATAAAGTTTATCTCACATATAAAAGAACAACTTAGCATTTCAAAATCTATTATTGTAACTTTTAAATAAACAGATTAGGGAAGAAAGATCACATGACTATTCTAATGGAGACAAAAAGAATATTTGATACAATTCAATATTCATTAAAAAATTTAAATAAGATAAAGTGTCTCTATCAAATATTTGTACTAAATAAAATATCTAAGGGGAAATAGAAGAATTTTCTTTAAGTTTGATAGAAGTTTAAACATGGTTTTGGAGGCCCTGTTCATCCCAGTGATAAACAATAAATAAAAAGTGTTAGGACTGAAAAACAAGAACAAAACAGTATCTTTTACAAATAAAAAGCTTATCTACATAGCAAGTCACAGAAGCAGGATTGATGTAAACTCAACAGACCAAAACCATTTATATTTCTATAAACCAAAAATAAAAAATCTGATTAATAAAATTAATGGCAACAAAAATTGCAAAATACTTAGGAATTATTCCTACAAGGAAAAACTTTATTGACAATAATAATAAATAGAGTTATACCATGTTCATGGATAAAATGATATTATAAAAATATATCAGTGGTTCTTAAAGTAAATATAAATTCAATGCAATCAATAAATATAAATCAGTGTTTTTTGTTTTTGTTTTTGTTTTCCTGAAGCTAACATTCTGTGGAAGAGTGATGTTAGAATTCTATGGAAAAGAGATAAGACTAACCAAGGAAATTTTGAAGAACTATTTGGGGACAAAGCTTTCCATACCAGATACCAAGACATATATTAAAGTTATAATGATTAAGACAACAGAATATTAGAGAAGCCAGTGGACTATAAGAAAATCCAGAACAGACCTATGTAATTTGACTACTTAAAACTTAAAACAACAAAATCAAAACCAAAACCAACTTCTAACAGGACAGCATAAGTAAAGTATCTTTGGGTACACTTTGGGAAAAGCATTTGGGAACCTACCTTATTTAAAAATAAAGGTGCTTCTAAACAACATTTAGGTCAAACTGATCTTGACAACAGTAAAATGATTTTACAGAAGTAGTATAACACAGTGGTTAAAAAACAGATGTTAGCAGGAGACCTCTTGGTTTTATGTTCTCATTGTCATCTTGTTGCTGTGTGACTTTAAGACAGTTATTACTTAGTTATTGGATAGACAGCATCTCTATTTGTCCAATGGAGACAAATGTCTTATTGTATTGTTGTGGGGTTACATAAATTTGCACCTGTAAAGTGCCTGGCATAATGAGGATGCAGTTATTGTTAGGGTTCAAGAGTCACTAAGAATTGATTACAGTTATGACTGCATCACTACAGTTATCGTAAATTTTTATAACGCTTTATAAATTTTCAACCATTTTTCAATTCTGTGGTCTCGTTCATTAGAGTACCTCTATGGATAGATGAGGAAGGTTCCAGCTAACAGCTTCTGTGAATTTCTTCTTCAACTATAAAATGAGGGAATAATCTCTAGGGCTCTTTTTTGGCTCAAAAAAACATTCATTTCTATTTTACAAGAAAGAGATTTGAGGCAAAGAGATGTTAACTGACTTGCCTTAGGTCATGAGAGTTACTAGCAGATTTAGGATTAAAACCTAGGTCTCCCAGATTAATTTGCATTTCAAAGATAAAATAATGATTTCCCTAGACTCTCTGTATCTACATTTCTTCTTAGAATTGTAAGCAGATACTTAGGAAGGTAATTCACTTGGGGATCATTTAGAACATTATAGATATATTCCTGTGACTGGACACACCTACCTCATTACCAGAGAGGGAGTTAGTGGAGATATACCTCTTTTGTGAACAACAGTAATATGGAGCATGGTAATGTGGGTAATAATATGGGGCTGGCAGGGAGCAGGAGAAAGGATTACCTGGGCAAGCAGACCTGGTTGGATCTGAAGAGGCTGAGCTCCTGGGGCTTGAGTGACAATAGGCACCGCATTTTCCATTCGCACTGAGTACCCAGCATGCTTTGAGGGGGAAGCCTGCAAGCCTATTACAGACAGTGGGTGAGGGAGAGAGGAGTTAGTTGACAGGAAACAATGGATGACATAGCCAACTGTGTCATCTTTTATCTCCAAGTCCCAACCCATCAACCAGGTGCTGCCTGGCTCTTTGGAAGTTTCCCCTTTAGTTTCTAACTTGAATTAAAAAAATAAAAACTCCTCCTGTAATCTCGAATGTTTTCAAAAGACTAGAAGGTCAATTAAAAATTCTGTACTGTCAAGAGGTGGACAGTTATGTTGACAAATTATAACAGGACAATAAGAGCTTCTGACAATCAAGATATGCCTGTGTAGGTCACTGCAAAGGGGTCAGAGAGAGAATGGATGAATCTGTTTTGGAATCACATTGACCAAACCTAAGCAACCACACACATGCTTACTTGTGGGCTTTGCAAGAATAAAATTTGGAATTCCCGTGTAAATTGTGACAAGGTACACAGTCACCTCTAGCTTGGAGAGTCTACAGAAGAGTACTGGGGTTGTGGCCAAAGAATGATTTGGGGGAGGCAGCCCAGGAGGTACTGTTCAGTGTTTTTCAGATTTATATTCTCCATGTGAACTGGGACTCTGTTGGCTGTCAGAGAGACTGGCAATTTTCTATAGTAAAACACACAGAGGGTATTTCATGTGAGGGAAGTAGGAGCTGACATCAGCATGACAATGGGAGCACAGACAATGTGCTTATTTACAGGCAGCTGGCCAGGGACACAATCCCTGGCAGGTGGTGAGAATAACAACAAACTGACTTGGTGCAGAAGCAAGTCCTATTGTTTCTAGGTTGGTCACAGTAGGATAGGAGCCCCCAAGCTCAGTGATACCAGAGCTCTCACTGAAAGAAACCAAGAGGGCTTTCTTCCATGAAAGTGAGCTGCCAGAAAACTGCAGGTGTCAGGCCCTAGAGGTGGTCCTGCAAGAAGCAGAGGAGGGGCTGGCTCGGCCATCCTCACCTTGGAAGCCAGGAGGACACACGATGAGAGCTTGCTGGAAGGGGTCAGGCCGGGCACAAATCTGGGCTGTTCCCGTCTGCAGGGGCATGCTCCGCTGGGCCACTGCAGCCATGGATGCCGCTGAGGGCTGGTAGAGTGTAGATTGGTAGTTTAGTATGGAGACTTCGGGATTGGCTAAGGAAATAGTGGCACTGGTGGAGGTGGGAGCCTAAAGGAATGATGGGGATTAAACAAAAATAAACACAAATAAAAAATGAGGGAGGGGTATGTTGGGAGACCGAGTCTAAATCAAATAAATGAACTCAAGGAAGACAAACCGACAAAACCAAGAGCAAAAAAAGTAAAAGGTGGAAAGGAGCAGAAAGACAGGCACCTGAAGCCACAAGAGGCACACCCCCCTCGACATTGATCACCATCTGTGGGGCCTAGGCATGGGTACAAATGAACAAGGGTGCATTGCATATCTAAGGACTGAGAAGTTCAAAGCCAGGCTGGAAAACTGCGGTAACACGTCTGCCCTTCTGCTGGGACAAATACACTTTCCTAGTAATCTGGGTGACCAGGTTTGAATTGAGGGTTTTTGGATTCCTTGAATTCTGCACTGAAACATGGTGATGGGGTGGGGCTGGCAGCGAGCAGAACCCTGTTTTCCTTCTCCTGCCTAAGTTGGGTCCCACCAACTTGAGGGGCTGTGTGAGCATGTGCTGTCCTCCAGTCCATACGTCTAAGCTCTGCTCACATCCCCTTCCCTTGGGCCTGTTGGTGTAGTCCTTTAGAGGCTCCTCTAGGCCCTAAAGACGCTGGGTCTTAGCGTGGAAGCCCACACACCCAAAGGTAAGCCAGAGCGGGGCTCTGCGCAGGGGAGCAGGATGCAAGGCTGGCTTTCTTGTCTGAGCTCCATGCACTTAGGCTGGTGCTATAGTAATAACCACGGCTGGAGGCAGAGGCTGGTGAGTCCAGAGAATTTAAATGGAGGCAGTTCGACAAGGGCAAGCCATTGCAGTGACGTCCTCTCTTTTCTTTCAGAGATATCATTAGAGAGTGAACTTCTCTGAGAGGCACGGCTACAGAGGAAAACAAATTCTAAACTGTGAATTCTCCAGCTTTCCCCCTTCTTAGTGTTGTCACACTGATCCTTCAGCAAGAGGGAGAGGTTGCTAATGACTTCAGGTTCAACATTGTCTACAGGAGATTTTTTAGAAGGTTCAAGGACTAAGGAATAAAGAGCAAAAGAGCCAGAAGGATATCTTGGACACACAATACACAAAGACCATTTCAAGTGGAATATGTATATATGTCAAATTTGATAAAAAAAGAGCAAGTCTCATTTTACATGTTTTTAATATTTATTTATTTTTTTGTACCAGGGACTGAATCCAGGGGTGCTTAACCACTGACCTCATCCTCAGACCTTTTTTTTTTTTTTTTTTTTAATATTTTATTTAGAGTCAGGGTCTCACTGAGTTACTTAGAGCCTCACTAAGTTGCTGAGGCTGGCTTTGAACTCATGATGTCCTGCCTCAATCTCCTGAGCAACTGGAATTATAGGCGTGTGCCACTGTACCCAGCTTATATTTAGATTTTGTACTGAAATATTAGTGCAAAGCAAATTAATTTGCTTGCAAATAATCACCAACTTCTGTGGCATGCATGCCTGGATTCCAGGGTACATATTTTAAAACATGTACACGTTTGCAGCACTACATGGCCTACCTCCACGTAGTGTGACTGGACACATGTGCGCACATGTGGGTCAGTGTTTATGTCCTGTTAGTGAGGACATGATCTGTGTTTCCTCTTTGTCCTCCTCACACCACCCTCTCCCCACATACACTTTCCCACTGTCTGCTGACGCCTGGCTTCTCCTCAGCTTTAGTTCCTAAGCGTCTCCCTGCTTGGGGCCCTAGCACAAACGTCTTGCAGGTTTCCAAGCTCATGTGAGCTATCTCACCCTCTGGTCAGTGCTGCTTCTGTCTTCTCAATGTCCCTGGAACCCACGAACTCTTTTCAGTTGCTTCTTTCTGGTGCCTGGGACCTATCGGGCTCTAATGAAAGATGTCCTGGGCTCTACATCTTCTCTTCCAATGCTTGGGCACACAGGCTAGATGGTTCTTTCCAAGACTCCCCTGTGCATGTCAGTGCCCCTGCTAATAAATTCCCAAAGACTGCCCAACACACACTGTCCATGCACCCAAGCCTGGCACTCCTTGTTCCCTTCTGAATTTTTCTTTCTTTACTCTAGATGCTCTGGGCACAGGGCAGATTAGTCTGCTCTTTGTTTCTGAGCCTATTGTGAGCACAGGTCTTTTATCTCACACAAATACTTGGGCCCACAGGGGCCTCCAAGCCTCTGAACCTCAGGGCCTAGCCTGGGGCCTGTGCTCTACTTTAGGACCCTCTCAACTCTGTCAACAGAGATAAGCCACTCCTGTCCTTGCTCTCACACAGTGCAGTGTTGTGGTCTCACCCAGCTCCTGTCAGTCTGCCTGACAGTACAGTTGGTCTCCAGACTGATGCTTCCTGGGAGGAGGGGCTCTCCAGCCCACTGTGGTCTCTCCCTCCTTGCAATTCTCCCAATCTTGCTTTTCCTGGCCCTGCGTGTGTCCAGTTCACATTTGGATTTGTCTGTTTTTGCTTATGGCTTGTCTTGTCATGCAAACCATGGGATCCTTGAGCAGTTGACTCTTGCAGCTCTTTGTAGACTCAAGAATAAGTGGAATCTGTATCATGACATGAGCTCCAGCCCCCATTGTGACCATTAGGCATGCAGAAGATTTCCCTCAGTTTCTAATCCTGTTTAAGGATCAGCTGAAGAAGCAAGCTGCAGAGGATTATGTTTTCTACTATTCTGTATCCTCAGTGGTTCTGACAGAGGGAACTAACCTATCGCCTGATTGAGAAGAACACAGAAAGGACCACCAAGAGCTCTTGTGACTAACAAATGGAAAATAATAAGGAAAAGCAAGTTTTTGGTGACATGGGCTTTTCAAAAATGGGAGAAGTGATTCTTGGAAGCAGTGTATGTTTAATTGGTCTAATACGCAAAACAAACGGGTCTGAGTTTGGCCTATACACCCAAATTAAAATACTTGGTAGAAGGCTAGGTCCAAAGAACAGAATACCATGGAAGTGTTAAGAAGTGGCTAATCTAAAGATTTACACCACAAATATCCAAAACAGAACTCTTTATTAAATATGTCACTTGTGGGCAACCTAATGGTTTTAGGAAGTATTTTGTCAAGAAGTCTTTTTAATTTTTAGAAAGTCAGCTTCCTTGAGGATTACAGATTAGTGACGCCAATTCCTTGAGACATAAAGGATCATTGATTTGTGACCATTTGGGAAAAAGTCCTTTGACTAGTCTACTGGGCTTGTTAAGGGGAACAAGGAACTTTTACATAGTTTAATATCCTACTTCTGACAAAATTACGGAAATATTTTATTGCCTCTTAGTATTTAAATTGGAAGAAAAACTCAAAGGATTTCATGTAGAAAGCAAACCACCAGGAACGCTAATGGACAAAGGGAGTCTTGTTAGATTTAGAGAGCAGGTGCCACCTAGGAAAGGCACTGAGGACCTCAGTGGGACTCTGCAGTGCTCTGTGTGCATATGTTTTTCAAGAGTACAGCCTCTGAGGCCAGACTGCTGGTTTCCAAGTCCACATTGCATGAACTAAGAAAGCAGCCTTGGGTAAGGGGAAGATTGCTTTGTGCCTCAGTTTCCTCTCAAGTGGGAACGATAAACCTATTGATCTCACACGGTTGCTCAGAGGATTGAGTTATGACATGCTTAGAAGAGTTGGGAACATAATAAATGCTCTATAAGTGTTTACTATTAGTAATGCTATTATTTTATAACATTATCAGAGGAGGGAAAGCAGGCCTTCATGCCTAAGGCTAAGTATGTGCTGAGTAATTTTTTCCTGATGTATTAAAAAATAGGGCATAGTAGAATCCAATGCCAGAGGATGGAGATCCTGATCACAGACCCCTTCCTTTTGTGGGGTATGGGCCCCCTTACTGGATGCTTTGGGCCTGTACTACATTACCAATCTCTTCTACTTCATCCCAGGCCTCCACTAGACCTGAGGAGAGGAGGGATGTTCTCATTCTATAACTGCCTTTTTGATGAGAAATCCCTTTGGTTTTGTGATATTTGTAACACTCTTTGGCAGGATATGCTTGCTGTCATATCACAGATAAGATGTCGTGAGCTCCCCTGGTATGCTCAGGGACCCACGGACCACAGTTCCACAGCAGAGGAGAGATCCCCATGGGAGGGGTGGCCTGATGGGCAGGCTCTCCCCCTGGCGCACGTACCTGAGGGCCCTCCCCTGCACTCTCCTACAGCCTTTGGTGTTGGATGGGGCAGACAGAAGGCAGAGAGGAATAGGGAATTTGGGATCAGGGAGTTAAGATCAGGTGTCTCAAGAAGGCGATGAACAAAACCATGGTGATATTCTGTTAAGAAGCTCACATCACTGTGGATGCCTTAGCCTCAGAGCTGGGCTTGGGCCAGGTGGGATGTTAGTTTCTTTGATTCTAAGCATTAAAGATTGCGGCTCTTCACCCTGAGGGGGCTTTGAACATTAAAGGTCCCTAGGGGGCAGCAGAGTCCAGGTGGCCTCCTATAGTCTAGGCAGAGGGAGACTTGACAGGCTGAGGAGGAAAACCTTCATAAGCCAATGAGTCACAAGTGGCCCAGGAAAACAGGTGGGCAGGGGCAGTGACTGAAAGAAGGGGTCAGGGACTCCTCAGTGACAGGAGGGGACCTGTCAATGAGTGGTCAGTCAGGTGAAGGTATTTATGCCTCAGGTGTAGCACATTCATACTCCTCCCATTGTGTGTGTGTGTGTGTGTGTGTGAGAGAGAGAGAGAGAGAGAGAGAGAGAGAGAGAGAGAGAAAGCAGACCGACATACACATAAACATTATTGTCATTACAAAGTGACAGTAAGAAAAATCTAGGGACACTTCTTTGAGGGAATGGTAAGATTGGAAGATAGGAATAGAGGAGTCTTAGACTCTAGATGCAGCTGCAGCCAGGACCTGGAGTTCATTCCTTTAATAACCCTTCCTGAGTGTCAAGCACTCTACAAAGCTGCTGGATCCTGCCAATTATTGGCAAAAGGTTGGAAATCTGTGGAATTTCCTTAGTTTTCCAGTCCCTTTTAGTTCCAGCTGCAGGAATCCTGGTGACAGACTACACTGCCCCCCCCCCCCCCCCATTTGGAGAAAGAACAGGTTTTAACTTGAAAACAAAATCATGTGGAGCCAAGGGAGTGGGGATAGGGAGGGGCCCGAGTCCCTGCTGGTTCTTGAATTTCCTACCAGGCAGATGTCAGGCATAAAAGGATCATGGCTGCTCCCCTCCCCGTTCCCACACTGGGCCAAAGGAAGGCAGGAAGAGGTGCTATCTTAGAAGTCCCTCTGAGAGTCCTTTCTGGGACCCTTCAGTGGGGCTAGGAGCCAACAGAAAGAGTGCCTGGGTCTCTCAAAAGAAATCACCATGGCAGCAAATACTTCCTTAGGAGTGAATGACAGCAGAAGGATTCTGTCCCCTGACTGGGTTTGGTGGGGAAATCAGTCTTGCTGTTCATGCGGGCAGCCTGCCTGGTTCCCCTCAGCACCCCACTTACCTGGTTGTGGACAGTGGTCAGCTGGTTGTTGAAGGTCATGGTCAGGTTGGTAGAGGTGCTGGGGGCCACATGCGTGATGAAAGGGGTTTTGCTCTGGTTCACTGTGTCATACATGTTCACCCGACGTTTGCAAATCTCCATGTTTTGGAAACATGATTTGACACTGTTTACATAAAAAGCAGAGACAGACACAAGGGAAAGGGGTGAAGATCAAATAGGATAAAGGGGAGAAAATGGAGGGAAATAATTAATCCAATCAACAACGACCAGAGAAACTTAAGTTTACCCAAAATGTCCTGGTTTCTCATGTAAAGTCTGTGCATTTGTGACCACCGATGTTACTTGGATGGCTTTCCCATGGCCCTGCCACCTTTCTCATATCCTGGGTGGAAGGAGGTTGTACATATCCCAGTAGGCATGACACCTCGCTGCATTCCCCATGTTGCCCCTCTGCCTCCTGCCTCACTGCCCCTTCTCCACTCCGGGGCTTCTGGCCCATAAACAAATGTATCAGCTCTCTGGGAACTTACAAAGTGCCTGTACCTGCCCCTTTCCTGGGCCACCGGCACGATCTAGGGGATGGCCAAGGAACTCTCCCAGTGCCAGGAACACATGGCTCCTCTTTGTACTCAACAGAATTGGTATGTAAAGAAAACGATAAAGAGGCAAATAATTAACAATAATGCTGACACTTGCTGAGAGCATTGATAGGTGTTTGCAATCCTTCACTCAGTCCTATGACATCCACAGGATGGAGGTAGGATTAGTGTTCCTATTGTATGAGTGAGGCTGAGGCCCAGGGAGAGCAGGTAGTTTGCCACACAAAGGTAATTACTGTCTAGGGAACCTATACCCTCTCTCTCTCTCTCTTCCTTTATCCTTGCGTTTTTTTCTAATTCTTGCTCAGTTACATGAAGTAGCATTTCCCCTTCTTTTTCTTCCTCCATTGCATTGGTGAATCAAAATAAAACCCTAATTACAGAGTTATGAGAGCAGAACAGACACCAGCATCAAGGAAGAAGAAATCTCCAGTGGCCTTGACCATTCCAGTTCCTGAAGATCCATCATAAAGCATCCTGCAGAGCCTACATACTGCTGCTCATTCACTTGCGGGTCTTCATTTCCTTAGAGTCACTTTTCCTCGAATGCAATTTTCAGGATAAACTTCCACTTAATCTTCAATTTAAAATGTCCATTTTAATTAGAATGTAATAATTGAATATAAGAAGTAGTTTTTTTACTATTTTAAGATTACAAATGTCCACTATTTCTGTGTACACCAGGTTTTGGGCTAAGTGGTTGTTTGTGGGCTATCCCAAAGCATCCTTTCCATAAGATGCATTCCAAGTTTCAAAATCTTAGACATGACTTACATAATCCTACATCTAAGTTTATGATTACTTACACTTGCCACATAATGCATGCTAAATAAACATTTACTGATTGATGACCTTGAAGAGAAAAAGAAAGCATATTCCATGGTAACCAACAGTTTAAAATACTGCTACTAATGCTGGCGATGCCAAGGGGTTTGGAACTTCTTCTAGCAAGTACCATGCTGCACGTGGAGGCTAAAGGTGTAAACAACATATTTTGTATTTTTTTTTTTTGGTACCAGGGATTGAAGTCAGGGATGCTTAATCACTGAGTCACATTACCCATTCCCCAGGCCTTTTTATTTTTTATTTTGAGACAGGGTCTCACTGAGTTGCTTAGGGCTTCACTAAGTTGCTGGCTAGCTTTGAACCTGTGATCCTCCTGCCTCAGCCTCCCAAGTTGCTGGGATTATAGGCAAGCACGACTTACACATTTTGTATTCTCTTTGGAATGCATTTAAAGCACTTGATGGTTTTGTGATGGTTTAGTGCAAAGTTCTGACTCCTTCAGAATTTTCTAACTGAAATGATTTGCATTTTGATTGTCAGGACAAGGCAAGTGCTTTTACTTTGGGTTAGTTAAGAAGATTGGTTTTTAAAAGATTCGTACACTAGAACTCTGGTATGGACAAATGAGGGGGCATCTCTTTCACCTAGTAATCCAGATGTTGGGGCAGCTGTGGCTGAGTCCCAAGGTTGGGAGTCCATAGCAAGGTGGGCCTGGAGATTTATTTTCACCCCCAAGTTTTCCATGGTCTTCCCAGAAAGTTCTGGGGAGCCCTAGGGATTTGGCCTACTCTCAGGAAGACTATGTGTTCTCAAAGACCTGCCTCTCCTTCTGAGGCCCCTTTCAGTGTTCCTCAGTAAAGCATTGTGTTGGTGGTTCTTTACAGAAGCCAGAGGAGGACAGGATGCCATTCCTCAAGCCCCCACTACTATATGGGGCTGATTTTATGGTGTGACTGCCTCACCATCTTAGTGCTCAGTTAGCTGAAGTAGAATTTCTCCTTAGTGCAAATGGTCAACAGGGCTTTCTGAGAACACCCCATATCCTGTCTCCTGCCCCTGCTGTTTCCCATCATCCTTCTTTACCCCTGAACATAGAAAAACTGGTGTCCTGGGAGTCCTAGCCAGTACGTCACCAAATTTGTCCTTTTTCTTGTGTTACAGATGACACCTCCCTGATTGATTCCTGCCACACTCAAAAATAGGGCAGATCCCCTGAAAAAAGTTTGAGGGGCTGGGGTTATAGCTCAGCGGTAGAGCGCTTGCCTTGTATGTGCAAGGCCCTGGGTTCGATCCTCAGCACACATAAAAATAAATAAAAGTTATTGTGTACAACTACAAAAAATAAATACTAAAAAAAATAAAAAGAGTTTGAAAGAGTTGGTCCCTATTCCTTCTTTGTTACTGGAGTTAGGTTGTTTCAAAAGCGGCTCTGAATGAAAGAGGCACTTTCTGGTAGTTGCGATGCAACTTAACTTGCTTCACTGACTGGGAGGAACAGAACTGACACAGACGAAGAGCCCCGGGTGCTCCCATTCACTGTAGGCTGGATAGGGTCCTGTCCAGGCTGGAGACTCAGCCAATGGCAGGGCCAACCATGATCTGCAAGCCTCTCTTTTCACAGTCTTCCCTTTCCCTCCAGATCGAAGAGAACATGTTGCTCTTGGGCACCCTAATTCCCCTGAAGACCACAGGGATGTGATTCCTTATTCTTTTGTGTCCAGAGTATCTGAGAACATTAAATTTCCCATCCACCAAAGACCCCCTGTCCCACTCATTCACCCAGGCCGTTGCCACTGGCTTAGTCTTCCTCTCCAAGCCCTTCTCTGCCCACAGGAAGGCTTCAGAGGCTGCACTGATGACTCTTTGAACATCCTGGCTTCTAGGTTGCTTGTCATCTTAGTAACCTTGTCCTCATGCCCATCACCCATTTTCTGGTGTGCCAGACCTGAAACTGTTCCACTTTCCCAAATCATGAACTCAAGCATTCTGCTCATGGCCACATTCTCTACCCATCCAACTTTTTCAGCTATTACTATGATAACTTTTTTTTTTTTTTTTGATAATTCACTCCTTTATTGCTAGTACAACTGCTGAGGAGATAAGTATGCATTGGGCATCAACAGTGGCCCATGTAGCAGTTGCAACAGGTAGACCCATCTCTAATCTGGCTCTTGAAGGAGGGCGTTCTAGGGTTTGTTCATGTCTGCCAGGAACATGTGGTCCTGGGAACCAGATGGTGCATCTCCAAGCATTAATTTCCTATATCTGTCTCTCCTGTTGTTAAACCAAACCTACCCTCTGGTTTCAGTCACATTGATGTATCTTGCAAGTCCCTTTCTGGTGGTCACACCAGGGTATTGAGTTGCCTGGAAAATACTTTTCAGTTCCTGCAACTGCCACTTTGAGAACTTGGATTCGTGGATGGCTGTGCTGGGGCTGCAGAACCGCATCAGCCACGTTTGTAAGGTGCCTGGGCTGCTGCTCCTGCCTGGACTGCTGGTCACCACCACTGGCCTCGTGGTATGCAACACCTCCCTGGTTCACAGCGCCCTCGTGGTGGAGGTAGCTCTCTTGAATCACGTCTTCCACGAGGCCTACAGTTCCTTCACGAAAGCGGCCACCACCAGTAGCAGCTGCTTCTTCTGTGGCTGCTGCTGGCACACCTTGCTCTGCCTCAGCTACTATCTCCATATACACATCCCCAGACCACATAGCTGGGGTCATGGTACTGGTATGGCTGTGACGTACCAGCTGCCAGCTGGCCTCTATCCTATGACTACTTCTTTAAGCACCTCTTCAGTGGGACCCTTCTCATCTTCACATTCCCTCAGCTAAGGCTCGGCATTGCTACCATTTTGGATTACAACCACTGTATTGCCAGCAACATCACCTTCCTCATCAACCCGTCTTTTTCTCTTATCAGTTTGGCAAAATTTGACCCAGACAAACCCAGCCATCTGTTTTCTCCTCGGGAGGTCAGTCACATCATCTGCTTTTCAGGTCCAACTTCATGCTCTCATCAGTTTGCTCTGAAACTTCTGCTCTAGATATCTAAACTTTCTATCCTGCTCAAACCACCAACCACCTTGTTTGCAACACACAACTTCACCATCTACTTCAGAGGGACAGACACTATCCGACAGGAACTCTCTCAGCTTTTCTCCATCAAGCCAGCACACCTGCTAACACCCACACCTCCCTTTGTCTGCCATCTTTTGGTGATACTGGCCCATCTCCACCTGTGTTCTAACTCAGGCCTTTCCACTGTCTTAATAAACTGACCCTGAGCAACCCTGTCCTCTAATTTCTCATTTGCCACCAGATTGTTCCCATCAGAATTTAAACTTGTTCAAGCCTTCTTGGTCTTCAAAAAAAAAAATCCCTCTGCCCCTCCCTGATCACCCGTACATTTCCCCCCTCCCTTTCCATTCTCATGTCTTGAGAGGCTGCTATTTCTCTGCTTTTCACTGGATCTTTCAACCTGCTGTGGCCTTCTGCTTCCACCACTGCACGGAAAGGGCTGTCACCAAAATACCAATGACCTCCGGATTATAAGATTTGATAGACATTTTCCCCAGACTGTTGTGCAGCAGCAGAGAGACCTGTGTTCAAGATAAATTTAACTAGACTTCCCCCGCTTCAAAGTCTTTGACGTTCTATTATTCTTTGGATAAAGACCCAAATCTTTGCCATGCAGGGCTTGCTCCTGTGGCCTTGGTATCTCGCCCACTGTGCCCAAGTCTGGGGCTCAGATCTGCCCATGCTGAGTGTCCACAGAGACAATGCCCTGCCTGCTCGTGCCTATTCTCTTCCTTGTCTTCAGAGGGCACTTCTCAGGGTCTTGCTGGACTGACCTTGTCATATATGCACATAACGACCTTCCATTTCTTGATGGAGACTGGGGATTTGGGCTACTTGTCTTTCTCCTGCAGACAGTAACCTCAGTGGGCAGGGCCAATTGCTTTGTTCCCCACTTGCTCCAGTTCCTGGTACCGTAAATGAACAAATCCAGACATAGGCTAGACTGGGTCAACTCCAGGGTGACTTGGGAGTAAACCTGGTGCTGAAACTAGTTTTGTTCTTGGGCACTGCCCTTCTGAGAGTTTCCCTCCACGCGTGGACCCCTGAGCTGGCTTCATCCGACCCCAGGATCTCCATGCTCCATTGTCCCCTCTTTTTTGGTATCGAGCAAACAGCGGCCAGGGGTCCTGGTCCAACCCCCATATTTTTATAAAGGCTTTATGGGAACGCAGCCTCGTGCCTTTGTTTCCGTGCTGTGTGGTTGCTTCCATCCATAAAGATGGAGCTGGGTAGCTGCAGCAGAAACCAGATGGCCACAGAGCCTAAAATATTTACTACCCAGGCTGTTAAAGAAAAAAAGACCATTCCCTAGTATAAAGCAACAAGCAGGACACCTACTGTGTGCTATGGGGAAAATCGAGTAGGTGTGTCATGGTGACAAAGGGGTGGTTCAGGGTTTCAATTGGCGTGATTCTCTTATCAGCATCTATGGTCAGCATCTTCTTCAACAGGTCAATGAACTCCCGCCGGTCTGCCTTCTCCACCAACATGTCACTCCCTTCCAACTCTGTCGTCATGTTCACCTGGAAGCAAGTAGGACAGGTGACCAAGGGCCTCAGCGAGCCTTGCCTCCCCCACCTCTCTTTACTCTGTCCTATCCCTCCTGCCAATCTCCAGGCCCCTTCCCAGCTCAGGGAGGCCACCTCTGCCCCTGTGGAAGGCACCACCCACAGGCTGCTGTAGCCCCCAGGAGGTGGCTTTGCTCTCTGCAGGAGGAGGTCAGGCTCTGGGAAGGGGCGAGGGGTAGGTGGCACCTGCAAACACATCTCAGTGACAGGACGGAAACTGCTCCTGCTTTAATCAGCTAAGTCAAAATGTAGCTCTCATCACACCTCATTAAAAATAACTCAAGATGAAAGAGTTCTGGAGACTGGTTGCATAAGAATGTGATGCACCTAATTCCACTGAACTGTACATATAAGAAAGGCTAAGATGGTAATCTTATGCTCTATGTTTTATGACAATTAAAAGAAAAAAGAATCACAATGAAGCAATACAAAAAAGACCCAAAAAATGGTTTATTTAACCTTCAGAAGGAAATGGAAGGCTCCAAGTGCCCTCTTCCTCCATCTACAGTAGGTCACACTTCTCATGGCTCCCGGAGTTGGGACTGGAATCATTTTATTCTCTGTGTTCACTGTGGTCACCTCTGGCCAAAGCAGGCAGGGTATCTGAACACAGGATTTTTCTTCCAAGAGAAAGTTTCTACCAGGTTGGCTTTTTAATTCTTGTTTTTTTGGCACTTTCTATTTTTTCCAAGGCATGCTCTGGAAAGCAATTTCAGTGTTCTCAGACAATCTAAGCTACTAATCAACTGACAAGTGTGCTTTACTCAGAATCAGGATTTTTGGTTACACTCATCTGCAGTAAGAGGTGTGCTAAGTGTTTATTGGACTATAGCTTTATTTCTCATTGCTTTAAAGAAAACTCACTTTTAGACTAGTCTTCACACTAAAAATAGCTGAAGTTTTAGAATTTTCTCTGGGGCACGAAGTTGAGAGTCTATGGTCCCTGCTAGTGAGCTGAGAGAAAGTAAGTGGAGTAGGTTGAATTATGTTCCCCTGTAAGATATGTTCCTGGGCTGGGGTTGTGGCTCAGTGGTGGATTGCTTGTCTCACATGTGTGAGGCACTGGGTTCGATCCTCAGCACCTCATAAATAAATAAAATAAAGGTATTGTGCCCATCTACAACTTAAAAAAAAAAAAAAGTCTTAAAAAAAAAAAAAAGATATGTTCCTGTCCTAATCCAAAGTAACCGATGGGGTGTTTGCAGATGTGATCAAGTTAAGATGAGGTCACAGTGGATTAGGGTTCTGCCTTTATACTGAACACTGAGCCAGAGATGACATAGGGAGAAGGTCACGTGGAAAAGGAGGCAGGGATGAGAGTGATACAGCTACCAGGCAAGGGATGTGAGGACGCCAGGGCCACCAGAAGTTGGTAGGGAGTCATGGATGGTTTTCCCTGGGGTCTTCAGAAGGAACACAGCCCACAGATGCCTGCACTACACACCCCGGCAGAGGTCCTGCTGCACGTGGTGTTCAAAAGGCTTGCACTGCATGTTCACCCACGGCGCTTACCTGGGCCATGTCATCTAAACAGTTGAAAATGTACTTTCTTGCTTCTTTTGACTTAATCCCCGTCTCTGCTTCATGGTCATCTGGTGTCTATCAAGAGAGGCAAAAGCTGATTGGTAATGTGGCTTAGCTCCTAGTCACTCAGTCTCAAACACTTGAGCTCACGCTTCCCGCAGAGGGTCCTTCCCACCTGGTAGAGAAGAGGCTTTAATTCTTCTTAAAGTAACCTGCACACTAATTCCTTTATTCATCCACACTCACTCATCCTTCTGCCTTCCCATGAACACCTCCATTCATGGCCTGCTCTGAATCAGCAATGGAGTATTCTAAGATGAGGGCGGTCTGCCGTGTTCCTGAATTCCCTACAGCCTTCCCTAAGTTTGAGATAGGTGGAAAAGCAGGAGCCCCTTCTTATATAATATGTTATATAAAATATTACTTTATGTAATAAGTCCTTATACACGAAGCTCTCCCAGTGCTATTTCAAAGCACATTAACCTATGAAGTAGTCTTCATAACCACACTAAGCAGGATGATTGCTAACCCCATTTTCCAGACAGGAAAACAGGAATGGAAAGCCTAGGGAACTTGCAAAGGTCCTCTGGCCAGCAGGTGGCAGGTGGCTCCAGAGCCTGTGATCTGTGCTGCCTGGGCACGGACACAGACATCCACTGCTCCCATTGGCTGGGAAACTGCTGTTTCCAATTGCCATGAGGTTTTGGACTCATCCATAGACAGAGGTGATTGATCCCAGAATCTCACTCAAGGACAGCACACCTGAAACTGCTGACTCCTGGGAACAGCTGGACGAGTGGGATGAGGCTCTGCCTCCCGCCTGGCTCACCCTCCTCCACCCGAGGGCTTCCAACTGGACCTGACCTTGATGCTCATCTTTATAGTGGCCAAATGGCCTAAGAGTGCCTGCTTAGTTCACAACTCTCTTTTCTCAATCTTCTGTGACTATTTGCCACATGTTATTTTTAAACTATATTAGAATCTGGCTGTAGTTTCTGCCAAAAAACCACCCACCCACCCTCCTGCAAAAAAGGAAACACCTCAAGTGAATATAAAACATATTTAAGACTTTTATTATTTTCTCTTTCCCAGGAAAATACATTAATTTGAATTACTAGGCACAGATCAAAGTGAAGGCAAAATATGTTTCCATTTGTGTAAAACCTGAAGAACTTATGGCGTGCCACAGAGCACACGCCACCTCAGACCAGACCACGGGGCCTGCGATACGCACCTTGCTGAGGCGGTTCCTTTGCCCGGAGAACCCTTCACAAACCCCTCTGCGTCCTACGGGGCCCAACCCTACATTCTAGTTCTCAAGGTCGTGGGTCAGAGCTTGCTGCATGTGAGCCTGGCTCCCTCTGGACTCTACTCCTCCAGGCCAAGGGGTAGCTCATTTCTTTCCCTAGAACAAATCAGTCCTCGAGCCTCATGGAGTAAAATCCTGGGAGATTAATGATCTTAACTGGGGACTCAAGCTTCTCAGACATCAGTGGGCCAAGAGGAAAGGTGCTTTTGAACTTGCAAGTTCAGTCACACCATGTATTAACAACCACACCCCATGCCCCCATTTTGCTCACCAAATTAAAGTGAGACCTGGGATCAATGCACTAATGTCAAAAGCGCCCCTCTAATGGAGCTGTGCCCTCCTTCCTGAGTGTTGGGCCACTGGCGAGGACGGAGGGGATGCTCTTCCTACCTTCAGTCTCCACAAAGGATACGGCGAGTCTGTGTCACGGTTGAAAAACCTAGTTGTCTTTGTCCCTGCGCTTAATAAATATTCAGCTGGCAAACCCTGTGTTTGTGAAATATACCGAATCTGCAAGAAAAGACGAGAAGGGGGTCAGGGCTTTTCTTGTCACTGTACATATGGCGTACTCATGGCTCTTGTGGATTTGAAAAAAATGGAAATGACAGTTTCATACAGAAAGAAGAAGGAAAAGAGAACAAAATAGCAAGGTTAAGAGAAGCAATTTTGGGAGACAATGAGTGAGTCCATGATGGCACCCATAGGTAGGGTTAGAAATGAAATGCTAATCAGGATATTTTTAAGCTGAGGAATGAGGTCCCGCTGTGAATACCTGTGTCATTGGGACCCACCTGATCATACTCGGAAGCTCCTGGATACAACGGCCAACCCAGGAACAGCTCTGCAATGACACAGCCCAGGGACCACATGTCAATCGCCTCGCAAAACGGTAAACCAAGGATGATCTCAGGGGCCCTGGAAAGGAAGAACAGAAGGAGCCATTAGCATGTGGAGACGTAGGCAGCTGTTTCTACATGAACTCTGGCTTTCCAACCTGGGGACTCCTACTGACTGCCAGTGGAGGCCTGTGGTGCCCAGGAGAGTTGGTGTGGTGCAGTGACCCATCCGCTCTCGGGCTCCGTCTGGCTGGCTAGGTGTAGGGCCAGGCAAATCTGGGGAGCAGATCTTATAGGAAGCACGCTTATCAGCTTCACTACCTACATGCCAACCAGATGAAATGATGACCACGTGAATGGGACTAGGGAGCCAGCTTTTATAACTAAAGACCTGGAAATCTTTGGAGGATGCCTGTTTTTTTACAAAGGAATTCTGACACACAAATATTCTCCTTTTAAGAAGATGTGAAACAATTTGCTTCCACCAAAACAATGGGATTAAGTCCAATATCTATTCTCACCGGTGATTCTTTTCTTGGGGATCTATCTCACATTTTCTCAAGGAAACATTACTATTTTGTTTTCATTAGCTTCTACAAAGTTAATCTCAGTAGAAGATCTCTCATGTTACAATTATCATTCCCTGTTCATGAATACATTATCTAGGAATCAACCAGAATTCCATTAGAAGCTACCAACAACCCATTCTTGACTATAGGAGCCAATGTCCCCTCACACAACAGACAAGGTCACATAATGGAGATTTCAAAGGAAACCACTTAAATTCAGAAAACTGCACATGAAATTGGTAATCAAAACCAGAGACTACAGAGCACACCCTCTTCTCTGAGCATTTGTTACGACTCAGTAGGGGTACGTCTTAGGGACAACCAGGCTCAAAATTTGACACGTGAACACAGCTCATACTCTTTGGAACTGTGGCCTCGGGCTCTGTGTGATACAAAATACATCAGCCCCGCCGCAGCTTTCTCCCTACGTTTCCCACTTGATAAAGCGAAGCGAGGGGAGGCTGTTCTGCCTGCCTTTAGCAATCAAGAGCGGTAGCCAAGGGCGGAGGCTGTCCTCCACCAGGTCACCTTTTGCCCACCTGACAGGAGGGGCGCCAGGTGGCCTCTGCTGGATTCTGATTTTCTGGATGAATTTTCTCCATTCAAAAGCAGGCTTCACCTCCCCCATTTAAATTTGCTCTCATTGCTAATCTCCCTTCTCTAGAAAATAGTATTGAAAACAACAACAACAAAAAACCCAACCAACCAAACAAACAAAAAAACCCCACTAAAATACCTTGTTACAAAGTTTTGATTTTTCAGATGCACAAAGGAGGGGGAGATGGTGTTTCTGGAGTCACCTCACTGTTGCTCTGGGCAGTAAGGGGGTACGATGGTCTGGATGCTGAATGTCCCCCACAGGCCCTATGTGGTCCCCCGGGGTAGTGCTACCGGAAGGTTGCAGAACCTTTGGGAGGTGGGGCCTAGTGAGAGGCCCTTGGGTCATCGGGAGCATGTCCTTGAAAGGGACTTGGGCCTCCAACCCCTTTCTCTTTCCTTTTTGCTCCATGGCTCATGATGGTTTTGCTCTGTCGTGCTCTCCCACCAGGGAGTGCTCCTTACCCTAGGCCCAAAGCAATGGGGCCAGCTGACCATGGACTGGAACCTTCAAACTGTGAACCAAAATACCCGTTTTGTATCATAAGTCAGTTGCCTCAGAGAAGGAAAGCTGACTAACAGAAGGAGAGTCACTGCCGGGAGGGCACGGAGCACACTGCCCCAGTGCTGCTATTTCACAGGCCTTCCATTGTCCCTGTCCCCGCACTACTGGGGATGGCTGCCAGTGCTCTCCCTGGCCCCTCACTCTCCTTCAGGCCACTCTGGGCTGCTCTCGCCCTCTGGCATCCAAGAGCTGGGGCTGCCTGGGTGGCTCCATGATGAACCCCACTGCACACCCTTGTTTCAGGCAGCCTCAACCCCAAGCCTGCCAGGTCACCTGTGCCCCATTCCGGGGCTCCCACATTCACCATCTTAGTGTGGGATGGCGAGGTCCTAGCTGGATCACCTCTAGTGTGCTGTAAGGATAGAAAGGAATGCCTGAAAGCAACCCTACAGAGAAAGCGCTGCAGCGCCTGCCGTTCTTCCCGCCTCGCTTGCTCTAGAGTCAGTGCCCTGCCTCCTGTCACACGTGGCGCGGGCCTGGGCTGCCTTCGGTGGGTGGCCAGCATGGCTGGATGTGGGGATGTGTGCCACACTGTTCTCCAGGCCCCGCCTGAGGAAGGAGGCGGTGAGTTCCCTGGGGTCTTCTCTGCGCTTGACCTTGGGCCGGCCCTTCCTATCAGTTAGATGGGCTCTCACAGCCCCAAAGCAGGCCGCCTTTTACCTGTGGACACCTCCCTTTCCAGTTCCTGTCCCCTGGAGCCATATACAGCAGAATCCAAAACTGAGACTGTCTCCCTGGCACTCTGGTGATGTTCTTGGGCAAGAAACAGAAGTCACAGGTCTAGACAGCTGACATTACATGAGCAGGGCCTGTGAAAATTGCTTAGTTGACCAAGAAAATGAAGCGCAGCCACTCCTGGTACCATGACACACACATACAGCACAGGTTTTTCCTGCTCTGACCACAAAGAATAAACGCTCGGGCCTCGGGTTAAATGGTTGGGGAACAGAAGAACAGCTCTGTCCTGTGAAGGGCTCTCAAGCTGGGAGGGCGACACTGGAGCATGGGGCAACTGTCAACGGACACGAGACGTGTGGAACACAGACACCAGACACGGAAAGTAGCTGAAGAAGCACCTGACAGCACCAGCAACTCCACTCTAGAAAACAAAGCGACTGCAAGGACAGAACAAGCAAACGCGACAACACACCCAGACCCAGAGGGTCCTCGCCCTCCCGTCTCTCGCAGCGCTGCCGGGTGCCCTGCCACTCCCCACCCCAGTCCCCGTGGGTGATCTCCCCTGTGGTTTCCATCTCTTGACCCACTGTATCCCCTCAGCCTCTTCTAACGGGACCTGGCGATGCTCTGCTGAGTACTGTCCTTGGTGAGACCGGCATGGCCTCCACACTGTCATGTCCATGGTCAACTTTTCACCCGCAGACCCGAGAGCTGCCTTTCTTCCACACAGTCCATCGCTCCACTCTTGCTCTTGGTTTTCCGGGCACCATGGTCTCCCAGATCTGTCCATCCACCCCTCTGCTGCTGGCCTGTCCACTTCCTTTACTGGCTTGTCTTCCTCTATCCACTGTCACATGCTGGCGAAGCCCTGGGCCCTGCTCATCTCCTTGTCGATAATTGACAGGAGTTGAATTTTGTAAAAGATAAGCGAAAGTTGCAATCCTAGGACCTCAGAATGTGACCTTATTTGGGAATGGGGTTGTTGCAGGTGTAATTAATTAAGATGAGGCCATACTGAAGTAGCTGGCCCCTAATCCAATATGACTAGTGTCCTTATAAGAGGGGAATTTGGACACAGCCACAGCAGCAAAGGGGCCATGTGAAGACAGAGACAGAGTAGAATTAGCTGCCACAAGCCCAGGAACACCTGGAGTTACCGAAGCAGGAAGATGTAGGAAAAGACACCCCCTGGAGGCTTCAGAGGGAGCATGACCCTGATGACACTGGATTTTGGTCTTCCAGCCTCCAGAACTGTGAGAGAAGTTTGTGAATAAGTATCCACACATTTTGTAGCACTTGTTATAGCAGCTTTAGGAGACTGATACAGTAATCTCACTCCCACAGGTTTAAACTCTGCTTGTATTTCCAAATTTCTGTCTCCATCCCTGAATTCTTTTCTCAGCTCCTGACTTAAGTCTGACAGCCTGCTGTCTCCTTGTTATGCCTCTCAGTCATCCTAGAGTTCATGTGCTTAGAAGGAACTCTAGGCCAGGCTCCGTGGTGCACACCTGTAATCCTAGCAACTCAGGAGGCTGAGGCAGGAGGATGGGCAGTTCAAAGCCAGCCTCAGCAAAAGCAACTCTGTGAGACCCTGTCTCTAAATAAAATACAAAATAGGGCTGGGATGTGGCTCAGGGGTGGAGTGCCCTTGAGTTCAATCCCTGGTAACCCACCCCTGCCCTATGCAAAAAAAGGGAAATCTACTTCATCCCTCCTCTCCAAACCAATTCCTTCCTCTTCCCCTCACTACTTGGAAGGGAGCTACCCCACCCTCAGATGCTTAGCCAGAAATCTGGAAAGGATCTTTGATCCCTGTCTTCGTCTCTTCCCTCTCCGCCATCCAATCCATGCACAGGACCAGCTCCAAAGTCTCCCACACATCAGTCCCAGGTTCTCTGTGTCTCCTGGCAGGGCTCTGGCCCTGGCCGGCCGTCCCACCTGGAGCTTCCTGTCCAGTTCCCATCCCTTCCGCCCTCCCTTGCTTATGTGCTGGGAATTGGACCCGGGGCCTTGAGCCCACCAGGCAATCCATCCACTCTCCTGCTTGCACCCCCTCCTTCTCAGCTGCCCCGCTGCACCTAGGGTGAAGTTTGAATCCTCCACGGCCCAGGATCCACGAGCCCTCCCAGCCATTCTCCCAGCCCCTTTCAGGTTCCGCAACCCGTCAGTGCCTTCCGACCCTCACGGGACTCTGTCCCTGCCTGGAATGCTCTCCATGGCTGCCCATTGCCATCCTCACACCTCAGCCTAACTGTCACTGCTACAGACAACCCCCTGATGACAGCTGGTCTCCATCTATGTGCCAGAAATGTCACTGTACAGCACTTTCCCAGGAACCTGCCCACTGTGTCTACTCTACCAAGTCCACAAGGCAGCATGGTGCCTGGTATCTAGTAGCCACTCAATCAATACGTGTTTGCTGATTGAATAAACCTTGATTAAATATAAGCAAGTGCTAGAGTATGTTTGTGACCCACTGGAGGTTGGAAAGCAGTGCAGAAACGGGAATGTCAGGGTGAATCTGCTGAAGGAGTAGAGGCTGGGGCCCCAGGGCAGGCCTCAGCCAGGGGCGAGGGGCAGGTGTGGGCCAGCCCACGCTCACCTGTAGAGGCGCCTGAGCAGGGCTGCAGGGAGAGTTAGAGACACCTATTTGCAGTTGCTTGTCAGCAG